CACAACGATTCACGCACTTTACTTACGGTCACTACCGTGCTTGACTCAATTGTCCGTCTCTATTTCTGATTGTCTGCAACCATCTATGCCGTCACTTCCTGCTAGTCTTATATATACAAAATAGAGGGCGTCTGGCAAACACTCGAGCCTTCAGGAACCTTCCGACACTCATTACGTGTTACCACCGTCACGTGACTTCCGCTGTCATAACAGTATTGATTTCAGCAGAGTATTTTGAAAGTTAAAATTTGTTTTACTGTTACATATTTGGTGAGAAAAAATAACTCTCTACAGACCTGAGGGAGAAGATTGTCCAGAAGCACAATTTCGGAGAAGGCTATAAATCAATTTCAAAGATTCTCAATTTGCCATTAATGTAAATTGTAAATTCGGTTGTGAAGAAATGGAAAGTGTATGACACTACCTCAACCTTGCCAAAATCAGGTCGCCCTAAGAAAGTCTGCGCTCGAACAAGAAGAAAAATCATCAGAGAAGTGACTCTCAAGCCAACAGTGACACTGAAGGAGCTGCAGGCTTCAATAGCAGCAACTGGAGTTACTGTTCACACCTCGACAACATCACGTACCACACACAAAAAAGACTTGTATGGTAGGGTGGCAAGAAAGAAACCACTACTGACACGAATGGACTATGCCCGTAAATATTTCAATAACCCTACAACAATGTGGCAGAAAGTTCTATGGTCAGATGAGACTAAGGTAGAACTTTTTGGGTTAAATGAAAAATGGTATGTATGGCGGAAACCCAACATTGCTCATGACCCAGCAAGTACAGCCCCGACTGTCAAGCATGGTGGTGGGTCCATAATGCTTTGGGGATGTTTTTCTGCAGCTGGCACTGGAGAACTTGTACGCATTCAAGGGATCATGGACAGTGCAAAATATACACAGATGTTGGAGGTAAGCCTGAACAAGTTAGCTGAAAAACTAAAACTCGGTCGAAGGCAATCCAAGAATGATTTTGGAGAAACAAAATTAAAGTCTTTGACTGGCCAAGCCAAAGCCTAGATCTAAATCCACTCAAAAATCTGTGGAGAGACTTGAAAATTGCTGGGCATCAAAGACATCCTTTCAACTTACAAGAACTGGAAGATATCTGCAAGCAGGATTGGACAAAAATATCTCCAACAAAGCTTGTGGAGGGTTATCCAAAACTACTTTCAGCTGTCATTGCTGCCAAATGAGCTTCAACCAAATATTAACTGCATTATTGTGTTAGGGGTAAAAACTTGTGCAACATGTGTTTTCAAGATTTTTCTGTGTTATATTACTAAAGTAAGTAACATTGCACATTTTGTTCTTTGTAATCATTAGAAACTGGTCTGAAATCAATTTAATAAATATTTTTGACCATTTGAGTTATGTCTTTCACAAGAAAATAACTAAAATTGATTACCAGCACAAAAGGTGAAGACTTTTGCAAGGCTTGATTGTTTGATGTTAAGCACAAAGCAATACAATGGGCAATCTGTGCTCTGCCTACCACGGGTATCGAAACCCGGATTCTAGTGCTGTAAGTCGCAGACATACCGCTGTACCACTGGGGGGGGGGGCATGCAAGGCATTGTATGTACAGCTTCATTGTAATAGCCTTTTGAGCTGGAAGATTGTCTTTCGTAACCATAGTTTTCATTTTGTGGATGAAGTCCTTGCTGGGGGGCTGTTGTGTTGCACTGAAGAATCTGTTCTCATGAAAAACATCGATATCTCCTGTGACCCCCTATATCATTGCATAATGTGACTGGATGAATATTTCTCTTGGGAAAAACTTTAATACTTTCTTACAGCCATACATTTATCCGTAACGCCATTGCATTGTCGAATAATCGTGAATTCGAGTGAATAGGATTAGGATATAGAAATCGTTCATCGAATAAAGTGTGGTTAATCTTCTGTAAATGATGAAGTTCTTTAACATAGACATCGAAACGTCATCCACCACAACACTCCAAGTGGGTGCAAGTCCACTGAAGATTCAATGCAAGGAAATCTAGTTTTAATCACAATTATGTGGCGTCTCATAATTTCTGTACACAAACCACGTTTATCAATTACTTGCATTTTCAATTGCACAAAAATTTATTTTTCACTTTTGAAGCACTTCTAAAACTTCTCCACTCGTCCCTTATATACTATAACATACTAAATTATGTGTAACTGAATATATTGCTTTGAATACATCTATGTGTGGATATATATTGGAAGTAGTTATTAAATCTCTGTTTTTATGGGAAAGTAAACAAAAAAGCAAATACTACCTAGTCCGTAATGAAGACTTCCTACACATCGTTGTACTGTAGCCAGTAGTCCTTTTGGGGCAAGCGCTGCACTATAAGTTGAGACGGCACCCCACATGAGGTGGTAGGTGAAGGCTTCCATAGCTTCAAAAAGAAGACACCACCAAGGGCTATTGATGTATGAGTAACCAAAGCAGCGAATGCAATATATGAGAAATGCAAAAATCAAGATGTTCACCCTTCCAATTTTCTTAATAAGCCAACTATAGTTGTGAAGAAAGGGAAGACCAATTATGGCTCCCGTGGTTAAAGTTAGGCCAAGCAGATATTTTGAACTTCCTAGGTCTAGAAGATACCAAAAAAGGAATGACTCAATAAATCCCCAAATCATACCGAGGCTCAATACTACAACTAAGAAAGCAACGACTTCTCTAAGATGAAATAGCTTTTTAAAGTTCTTCATGACGTTTTTTGCAGGCAAAGCCACTGGAATGTCCAAAACCCACGTGATCAGTGCTGTAAGCAGTGTAAATCCATTAAATAAGTAAAACGCAGGGCAGTAGTCTGGATATCCATTTTTATCGCTGACTAAATCAATTAGGATGCCACTGATTGGAGAAAATACAGCTGTAGCTAAGATTGCCCAGAAACGTTGTTGACCATAATGTTCTTTGTATTGTCCTACCATGACCAAAGTCGTAGCATCTAAAAGACTAAAACAGATGGCAAGAAAAATCTGAAACAAAACTCTTAAAATGAAGTATACCCACAAAGTTAACATCCTCCTTCCCTTATTAAGCTCGCATTTCTTGTCACTGAAGATGTGATCTGATGTGATAGTTGAGTTTTCTGGTACTTCCAGCTCGTCAAACATGCACCTCAATGTACAGTTATCAGTGTTTTCAAACTCCTGCATTATGATTGGACAAGTTACTTCATGAAATAGCCTGTTATGCCATTCAACAGCCATCACAGAGTAAATACAAGAGGGTCCTACTGCGTTGAAGACTGGCTCTGCAAGATGGACACCGAACGTAAAGTTTTCCGAAAGTGTATTATTCACTTCCACCAAATGGCACACTTGCCCAAGATGGTCATTAAAACAAAGGTCAGCACTGTTCATGGACTCAAGAGCTTTTTCCCACCCTGACGTTCGACACTCCACCAGACAGTCCAGAAAGTGAACAGCTAAAGTTGTGTTATAACCAATTCTATCACAAGCTCCATACTCCCAGCACTTGTCAACAATAATCTGCGGCGAACCGAAGCTAGGCCCACACAGAAGGTGAAGAGAAGGTGGTTGTTCATGAGATGGTGGTGCTGGAGGGACGAACAATAAACCGGTACTGGTTAGACTTGTTACTATTAGAGCTATGAGAAGAACAGGTGTGTAGTGGCCCATCTTGTCAGCAACTAGACTCGCAAGGAGTGGCCCCACCACTTGTGCTGCTGGTAGAACTGTGTACATCAAGGCTGTTTCTGAAAGCGAAATTCCGATCTGTTTCATATGGATAGTGAGGTAGGGGAGCAGACAGGCAGCAGCTATATAAAAATAATTAACACAGCAGTCAGTTTATAAATATGATATCACCAGTAACTGTTAACAAAAAATAACTGAGTTAGCTTCATATAATATTCTATACTAGAACACTGTCAATAGCTAGATTTAAAAGAAGATCAAAATATTGATTAATTTAGTGTATATTCTTAATCAAGCTAAGCCGTAATGTTTTTATTTTATTTTATACTGCTTATATAACCACAAAATATCGACATATGGGAACCTGTTGATCTGCTTTTATTAGCATAAAATGTCACCACATTAGAACCTGTTAACCTTCTTATATAACCATAGCATGTCACCACTTTAAATCTCACTGATCTTCTTCTATAACCACAAAATATCACCATACAGAAATCTGTTGATCTGCTTCTATAAATACAACAAAGTATTGTATTAGATCGTATTTCCATTAATTCAACGAACAAATAAAATGTTTGCAAATCAAATTGCTTGCTGTTCGAGTAATCACTTTGTTTTATAGTTAGATTCTTATACAATTCCCATACTGTTCTGATATCACGAAACATTCTATATTATCAGTATAATCAAATATTACACACTGCAACCACGGAGTTGTGTTTTATTGCAACACCTCGACTGATATCTTCGATCATGCAAAGAACGAGTAACCATGATATCTGTGCAAAGAAAATTTTATCATAATTAAAACTAGTACCAGGTTGGAATATACAACTTAGTGAAAACCTACGATACGACAGCATTTGAAATGCACATTTATTGCAGTGAAATGGTGGTTATTTAATATTTGCTTAACCACCATCATAATTTTTATAGTAATTATTTCATGGGTCAACATTACCTGTTTGTGTGTGTGTGTGTGCGTGCGTTTTTACGTTAATAAAATTCTTACGCCAGTATATCCTAAAACTATTTTAAAAGTGGAAAAATTCAGTACTTACCTCCATACCAGCAGAAAAGAATGATCTTCAAGGGTATTAAAGCTCTTTTGGCTTGTTTACGATTAATTCTCAAACTGGTGGATACTGTACACCTTCCTTCGGACATAGTTTTAGATCTAAAAATGACAGATGACATTAAAATTTCGTTTACTGAGGTTTATTCTGAGACATACATAGCAGTCTTACGTATTTATTACTACTTTATTTGAAGTTTCACTTATTCTTGATTTTTTGAATTTTGTTTAATGTAATCTTAGTTTAATACTAGTAAGTCTACCACGAGCTTTCTACAGTGAATTGTTTCAGTAACAAGATTATTCCAGAGATTTTCAGTTGAAAAATATTGTGGTTAAAATCACGTGGAATAAAGGAACAAGACTTGTAAACAAATAAAGAAAACACTTTTCAAAAAAAGGAAGTAAATGTAGGAATGACTAATATCAATCCTTCAAAAACAATGCAAACAAGATAGTAGGGATGGCATTTGCTTCATCCCTACATAATACCACAGGCACACAGTGTAGTAAAATGCTAACACAAAAATAGGATAGATTAAACTCAATTGTGATTGAATAGTTATATATATTGCTGTATGTTAATTCTTGACTGTGCTATTATGTAGGGATGATGCAAATGTCATCTCTACTATTTTGTTCCTATTCTTTTTGGAGGATTGATATTAACTACCAATACATTTACTTCCTTTGTGAAATGTTTTTTTTCTTTACTTGTTTGCTTGTTTTTTTTAATGCAATGTTTCAATAGACATAGAAAGTTTGTATTTATAACCAAGTTCTAAATACAATGAGGTTCCAACTTGAATATTTATTGTTCAACTATTATTGGCTGCTAAGTCCTGTTTCAATCCAATTCTTGGCAGTTATTTTGATTTTAAATCTTTCAGGCCTTTCAAGGCCTGAAAGACAATCAGTGGCGCTCACAAACTGTTGTTTTTCTTCGCCCCGCTTGCGGAATTAATTGTACTTAGCTTCATGAACAACAAATTTCTGTAAAAAAGTTAACATTAAGGGGTAATGAAAGCATCGTTTACACTAGAATTGTGATTTTTTTAATTGCTGCTATTTATTAATAACACTTATAAAAGCGAATACTCCTTCTGAAATTATGTCACCTCAGTGAAATTGGTTGACACAATTGCTTCAGTTTTTGAGTTATCATGTAATAAAAAAAGAAGCAGAATAAAGAAGAACAAGAAATTCAAACTTTTTGCTATGATATTTATAAACATTCCCAGAACTTTTTACTGAGTCATTACATAGATATTGTTATAAAAGAAAACACTGTATAGTACTGTAAAGCTATGGTGATCTACTGAGGAGATATTTAATATACCATTTGGATGAACAATACGAACCATATCTACATAGGTAATGCTACCGCCTGCCTGATAAAATTGTAGTTAAAAACATCTGGAATAACGGAACGAGACAATTAGAAATTAAGTCAGAGATATAATTAGAGTTTAGTTAGTGTTGAGATGTTGGTAGTCAAAGATTTAATTAAGTTTGGATAGTGTGGAGATGTTGCTAGTCAAAGATATAATTACATTGTAGTTAGTGTTGAGATGTTGCTAGTCAAAGATCTAATTAGAGTTTAGTTAGTGATGAGATGCTGCTAGTCAAAGATATAATTACAGTTTATTAGTGTTGATATGTTACTAGTCAAAGATCTAATTAAAGTTTAGTGTTGAGATGTTACTAGCTAAAGATCTAATTAAAGTTCAGTTAGTGTTGAGATGTTGCTCGTCAAAGACCTAATTAAAGTTTAATTAGTGCTGAGATGTTGGTAGTCAAAGATTTAACTAAGATTCAGTTAGTGTTGAGATGGTGCTAGTCAAAGATTTAACTAAGATTTAGTTAGTGTCGAGATGGTGCTAGTCAAAGATTTAATTACAGTTTAGTTAGTGTTGAGATGTTGTTAGTCAAAGATTTAATTACAGTTTAGATAGTGTGGAGATGTTGCTAGTCAAAGATATAATTACAATGCAGTTAGTGTTGAGATGTTGCTAGTCAAAGATCTAATTAGAGTTTAGTTAGTGTCCAGATGTTGCTAGTCAAAGATTTAATTACAGTTTAGTTAGTGTTGAGATGTTGCTAGTTAAAGATCTAATTAAAGTTTAATTAGTGTTGAGATGTTGCTAGTCAAAGATCTAATTAGAGTTTAGTTAGTGTTGAGATGTTACTAGTCAAAGATCTAATTAAAGTTTAATCAGTGTTGAGATATTATTAGTCAAAAATCTAATTAAATTTCAGCTGGGGTTGAGATGTTACGAGTGAAAAATCTAATTATAGTGCAGTTAGTGTTGAGATGTTGTAAGTGAGGTTGGATTAACTTCGTGTATTTGAATGGAAAGAGACAAAAGACCTGCCTAATCGTGATATGGAATATATATCAAGAAAGCTTTTTGAGGGGCCTATTAAGTTGGATTCAAATTAATATTTTACATTTGTGTTAATTAACCACTATCAATACGTCTAGAACCTTGATGAATTACATTTAGTGTCTATCTCAACAGAAAGTAAATACAACGGCTGTTAAAACTGGAACTGAAGATGTTTTACCAATTATGTGAACGCTCTGAAGGGAAACAAGTTATAATAATGTGGCGAATCAGGGTTTAAACTGGAATTCTAGAATAAAGAACATGAAAAACAAAGGTTTAAAAGTCTTGGAGGATCCCTTTAGAAATATTATCAAAATGATGAATGGGAAAAGTATGAGCACGTACAGTATTAAGGAAGAAACTAGCATAACATTGATGGTATTATTAATATTATGTAAGGAATTTATGGACTACTGTCAAAAAAGCCTCAGCCAGGAGACACAATAGAGGTTAGATAACGATCATTATTATTCTAACTTCAATGATATAAATTTCTGAATATGCCTAAACTGTCATGAAATAAAAGCAGCTTGAAAACAGCGAGAGAACCAACAGCATAAACAGCTTAACTTTGTGCATATACTCAAACTTCAGGGACCACAGCCTAGTAATTTGATGTACCACAAACCTGACAAACTTTCACACCCTGCACACCGGCTCGAAAGAACAATCCTTAACAATACTCATTAAGTGAATCCCTGGAAAGCTGGAATGGCATCTTTTAAGCTTAAAAGGTCCAGCTGAAAGCACCACCTGGTGCATTTGTGGGGTAACTAAAAAAAAAAAGGTAGAAGAATGCAGTGCCCTAAGCAGTACATAACTTGTATACTTTATATGTTGATTAAGGGTTTGAAATTAGAACTGATTTCTTTATTAAAATGAAATTTTTATTATATAAAACTATTTGCTTGGGAGAAGGTTTAGACAGATAATAGTATTGTTACGACAGCGGAAGTCACGTGACGCTAGTAACACGTCATGAGATTCTAGAAAGATCATGTTTGTTCGTGAACCCTCGAGACGCCCTCTGTTCTATTTCGTATATATAAGACCGGCGAGAAGTGACGGCATAGATATGAATAATTGCAGATTGAAGAGATAGAGACGGGTAATTAAGTCAAGCGCGGTAGTAAAGTACGTGAATCGTTCGTTGTAAATTGTAGCGTGTGTTTAAGTTAAAGTGAATGTGGAAATTAAGTGTATTGCAAAGTTGTATTGAGAAAGAATAAACTAGTTTTATTTAAGAAAGGACTTGTATCACTGAAGTTTCTGGAAAATAATTTCTACGGAAAATTAACAAACAAACACAGAGACGTAACAAATTGGTGTCAGAGAGTGGGACGGAAAAGAAAAAATGGAAACCAGAAGTGGCAAGTCAAACTACAGCTTAGCAGATTTGATGGCAGCAATACAAGAACAGCAAAAGAAACAAGAAGAACGAAAAAAGAAACAAGAATAGAGCTTACAGCAGTTATTGGAGGAAAAAAGAAAATAAACAAGAAGAGAGATTACAGCAGCTGTTGGAGGAAATAGAAAAGAAACAAGAAGAGAGATTACAGCAGCTGTTGGAGGAAAAGAAAAGAAAAAGAAGGACGAGAAAAGAAACAAGAAGAGAGATTACAGCAGTTGTTGGAGGAAAAAGAAAAAAAACAAGAAGAGAGACTACAGCAGTGGCTGGAGAAGAAAGAAAATAAACAAGAAGAAAGTCTCTAACAGTTGACAAATGGAAAACATTACTAAATTTCAAAGCGAATTAAACACATTAAAGAATAATTTACTGTCTTTTACACAAGGAGGATATATTAGCCATCGACCTAATCAGTCTCAGACAATGGGAAGCCCCTTCCAGACCCCGCAGCTAAACCCTAATGCAGACATCTTCAGTACTGTTAGAAGTCACATCCCAGATATGAATGTCAGCAATAGGGGTGATCTAGTAAGGAGGAAGCCACAGGAATTCGATGGGTAGCATATAGAGCACAATTTGAGCTAGTGGCAGAGATGAATGGGTGGACAGAGGAGCAGAAAGCAGTAAATCTGGCAACAAGCTTGAAGGGACAACCACTGGAAATACTTGGACAGTTGTCAGCAGACAACAGGCACAACTATAGAGCACTGGTAGCGGCTCTAGAACTCAAGTATGGAACTCAAAATCAGGCCAAAGTCTATGGGGCTAGGTTTAGGACTAGAGTCCGTGATAAAGGGGAGAGCCTGCAAGAGCTGGCACAGGATTTGGAAAGCATGGCACACAAGGCCTACCCAACTGCACCACCCGATCTCCTCAAGTTGTTGCTGAGGGATCAGTTTGTAGATGCCTTGGACAGTCCACAACAGCCCACCCCTCTACTATGCAGGAT